TGAGCCTCTTCCACACGCCTTTAAGAGCTTCAGATCCTTTTCCTTCAAAACCCTCCAGGCTACCATGCATCCCAACCTGGAGACACCCAGGATCAAAATGTTAAGCTTATCAGAAGGAACACTGAAGAACATGAGAAGGGATCTACAGACTGGAAAATGCTAGAACGTAAAGGGATAATTCATCGAAAAATGAAAATTCTGTCATTATTTACTCACTCTCATGTCATTTCAAAACTTTTTTCAAATGTGTTTGTCATTTTTGGACCTCAAAAGATGTGGTCACAGTATGGGTTTGTAACAACATTATGGTGAGGATGACATTATTTACATTTTTGGTTGAATTATTTCTTTAAAAGATGGCCATGATTTCTTTAAAAATTTACCATAGTATCGAGGAGAATGGTTATTTCTTAACAGTTGTCCAAAAAAGTGGATAAAAAAAATATTCAAATCTAAAAAAAAAAAAAATTATAATATAATATTACATGTTAAAAACATGTAAGTTCAATATTTATTACATTTTTAAAAATATACCATTTTGACTTGGCTTTAATATAATATAGTATTACATAATGGTAATATTTATAATATTAATATTAAGTAATACTTATATTTATAATATAATAATAAGAATAATATTTAAAAAGTGGTTAAATATTGATTACTTTGCGAAACATACAAGCTTCAAGCAACATTCCCTCAAAGTTACTGAAGTGTAATTAAAAAAAGAAAACCTACAACTTTGAATTGTCTTTAATAACAACATAACATTAAATAATATTTAGAATATATTAGTTAAACATTATAATACTTTAAAAGTGGCAAAATTATTTGATTGCCTCCGAGAAAAAAACTGAGGGTGCAAAAAAAATCTAAATATTGAGAAAATCACCTTTAAAGTTGTCCAAATGAAGTTCTTAGCAATGCATACAGTAGGAAATTTACAAAATATCTTCATGGAACATGATCTTTACTTAATATCCTAATGATTTTTTGAAAAATACCCCAGCGACTTAAGACTGCTTTTGTGCTCCAGGGTCACATATAATTCTTTGTTGACCCCCACCCCACTATCTGGACTTTCCTTCATCTCCTGAAAGTCTAGCATTATGTACTTTTACCTATAAGCAATGAATTAAAAGCATTATTACCCAAGGAACAGCCATTATTTGATGCTTGAAAGGCCACACTGTTCTCAATACAAAAAGTCAATTTCAAGGAAATTAAGTACTACAAATGTTTAATCTCATGACTGACTTCTATGTTCATGGAGATTACCTGTATAAACGGTATATATTTATTTTAAAAAAGGATAAATATAACATAGATATATAGATATTATATATATACAGGGCTGTTTATATATATACTGTATATAAAGCCATGAAACTTGAAAAAATTCTGCCGATTTGCAAAAAAGGCCTAATTTGTTAATGCTGCTTTCAAAAATATAAATAAAAACCTGAATGCACTTATCTAAATAGTCAACTATCAATCATTTCAGTTTTAATGACAAAAATAAATAGTATTCAAAATGTATAATTTAACTTACAACCTCCAAAGTTATGGAAAAATGGAAATCAGGAAAACTGATGCAAAATTTTGTACAGCAACGGTAAATGTAACCTTTAGGCATAAAATAATGTCTTCAGAGTCATTCACATATATGAAAATCGACTGAGAATTGAACAAATAGCTGTAACCTAGCTCATCGGAAGATATAAATCACGTTTGTGTGTCAGTTTTTCTGGTCATTAATCCAAAATACAAGACGACTTCATCCTACAAATGGTTGTTGAAAGCAAAAATGCTATGAAATGCATCATAGTTTGTAAAAAAAAAAAAAAAAAAAAAAAAGTGCTAGAACAAAACGTGTGGCGTTTTGGGAATCAGCACCCCAAAATTCTTAAGAAAAAAAGCAAATATGATGAAAAGTCATGTAATTTATAATCTAATATAATCTAGTATAATCTGGTATAATATAATATAATAGATAAATATTTAAAAGTATAAATAAATGTGTATATATCCATACACATACACTTCCAAGTCTTCCAACTGTGATTTCTGCATGGCGGGTTTTTTAATTAACCATGTTTAAACAAGTAACATGACTTAGTGCTCTTAAATACAGCTCTGTTTCACAATATGCAATTTGGGGGACAACATAATATCGGAACCATCGGACATGAAATAATGTGAAGTAATAACTTCTGGCGTCAGCTCTATAATTATCACAATTTTCTTTTTCATTTTGCTTCTTTCTGCACGTTACTCAAAATCCAATCCAAGTGACAAGCACCCGAGGACATGCGAAAGTACCCAAGAGAATAAAACTGTACCAAAATCAGTATCGTTCTCATTGCATCCCACCCTCTGGTCAGCTGTGTCCATTGTGCTGTGAGTCTTTAGGCCGCTGACTGCAGAGGTCAGGAGTCTAGGGGGAGTTTTCACTCCTCTCTGCTCGTTCGGATTTGGAGAGGTGCCATACGAATGGACC